TTTCCCTATAATCTCGCTTTTATAATAAGCACCAGAAGTTGAGGGACCACGAGAAATACCGGATTTCTAACTATTGGAAATTTCGTATGAAGAACCCAGCCGAGTTGGTCATTTAGCCTGGCGGAGAAGCAGTAGCTTAATTTATATGCAGTCCTCTAGCATTTCTCCTTACGCCTGGACTATTCCCCTCGGATATGCTTTCCAGATGACAGTGCGATGTATAATGAAAAAAGATCAGCAACTTGAAATAGTGTTTCCGCAGCAGGCGGTTTCATTTTTTTCGAGTGGCATAGATAACGGCACCAGGACGCTGGAGCTTTGCTTTGCCAGAGGGTTTCCTCGCTTACGCCTGTGGGCTTGGAGAGCAACGGCGTACTGACAGCCAGGGACGATGTTTTTCTCCGTTGTCCCAATTGCAGATGAGGTCGGGGGAGATGGCCGCCAACATTGCCAGGGAGCTTGCAGAGCACACGAAAAACCACTTGTACGCCGGGGACATCACCTACTCGGTGTCTGCCATGGTCCAGCTGGTGAACCTGCTCGACGTGCAGCTCCGCAACCTGACGCCCGGCGGGAAAGACAGCGCCGCACGCAGCTTAAATAAGGTAAGGGCGAAGGGTCTTGGGAAGACGTAGGCTGAAGCGGGGGGAGTTGGCTCTCTCTGGAGAGGTGTAGACACCTCTGGCTGAACGAGAGGCGTTTTAGGGCTGTGATTCTTACTCGGTAGGCGAGACTGCCCGGCAGTTTTTCATTTGCAAGGTGTTTTATTCTGCCAAGAAAGGCCACGGTTGTAAACGCCAAGTGTACTGGTGGTGCTGGGAAATGCAGGCCCCTTGATGGGGAGATGGATGAACTGCAGGCGCTTCGTCCTGGTCTCGTACTTCAGTATGAGAATCGTTCGGGTGATGCCACAGCAATTAATTTGGATTCATGCCTGCGTGACTGAGGCCAGGAGTTTGTCCAGTGCTGAATCCATCTGTGACATGACATATAACGTAAGCCAGGCAATCGGAATATTGAAAAGCCCCCAAGAGGCAGAGGGAGTTTGGAATTTTGATTTTTTTAATCTCGTACCACCATTACGAGATGCTGGAAGTGAAGGTATGGAAGTGAACCAATAAAAACAGACAGGAACGTTTATTTACACTTGAGATGCATTCACTGGTGGCGCATCGGATGCCAGTACCTTTACATTTAAGGTACTTGAGGTGGCCTTTTTAATGATTAGGTGTGACTCAGCCCAGAAGCACCTTTTTGTATGACGACAGTGTGGTTTCTGTGCCCTCTGGATGAGAAGAGCTATTAGTCCTGTTGTCATTTCCAGAGTTAAGTGGAGTTATTACACGTTTGCTAGAAGTTGTGGAGGAAATAGCAGCTGTGGAGTTCATAAGAATGCACTGAAAGTTGAGGGTTTCCTTGGACCAAGGCCCTCCGTTATCCCTGAATCTCGTGCAAACACGTGGATTGCAGCTTATATGGGATGCTGGTGGAGAATTGCACGGGCATGGTCCTCGGAGCAAAGCATGGCCGAGCCCTGTGGCTACAAGCACGCGGTGATAGTGGCCACCTAGTTCAAATAAGGTCCCAGATTTTGTCCTCTGCTGTGTAGCTGGCTCTGACGGCCCTGGCATCCCGGTAAGTGAGTACAGCGCCTGGTCCCGAGGTTACACAGGGAATAAATTATCCCAGCTAAGCCTTCTGGAAAGAAGTATTTTTCAGAGAAGTAATATTGTCGTTTTTGTTGTAAGTTATTATTGTAGATTTATTCTGCTTTAAAAGTAAAGGGCTTCTGGATTGTTTAATATTACAGCCGCATGGGAATTGAAGTCCTGCATATCCTGTGCTTTGCATGTGCTGAGAATTGGGTTGTCCCGATGCTTTTAATTAGTGCTGCTTCCAGCTATTTTTTTTAACCATGTGGGTAATAATTGTATTAACTGTTACATCAGCATAACATTGTTTGTTATAATCATACCACGGTTCTCCGTTACGAAACGATGGCGATATCTGACGACATCGGGTAAAACGGGCGGTTAATGTCACGTACTAACCGGTTTCATGATTTTAGTCCGCTTGCTCTTGCGAATACTCCCTAGGCACACCCAAGGTGGTGTCACTTCCGCTTTGCAAGCCCACATTTTTCCTCCCTTTTATTATTTCCCGCCCCCCCCCACCCCCACCTGCTGGGATTTCTCCCGTTCACAGGAAACCTGGTTGCGCAGCTGGGAGCGACGGCAGGGAGGGCAAGGCTGGCGCGGGCAGCGCGACGCCGGCTCCGCGGCTCCTCCGGTCCCCCCCTCCCCGCCTCGCATGCAGGTTTCCCCCCCGACCGCCACCAGGTTCGCACGAAGAGCTTCATACAAATCAATTCTCCGCATTAAAATTCTGGACCGCGTGGAGTCCTGCAAAACAGCGATGCGAGTCAGTGATCCAAGTGACGGGCTCAGTAATTTACTTGCTCTCATTCCCCACTTAATTCTTTAGAAGAGCAACTGCTCTGTGTTCATTTAAGAATGCATGAATTCAGCTTGGAAGTAGGATTGGGCAAACAAAAGGCAGCGGAGTTACGGCTCCATTTTCCCCTTCACTGATCAAGAGCATTTCCAGAAAGAAAAGAAAAAAAAAAAAAAAAAAAAAAAAAAAAAAAAAAAAAAAAAAAAAAAAAAAAAAAAAAAAAAAAAAAGAAAAGAAAAAAAAAAGTCATTTGCAAAGAGTTTTGTTTGGTGCTGCTTAGTCAAAAAGAAGAAATAAAGTAAGCACTAGCCATTAAATATTCTTTTAATCATTAAAGGAAATGTGCTGGGGATTCGCCTTAATGCTCCATCTGAAAGTAGTCACCTGTGCTGTTTTGTGGGGTTTTTTTTTCTTTTCTTGCAAGCTCGTGTACAATGAATTGAAACACACTGTCATAATCAGAATTTTTAAAAGCCATCATCTTTCAGCAGCCACTTTGCTGTCACTAAAAGCTTTATGCTTTCCACTGGGTCCGGCTTAATTAAGGTAGTAATTGTTCCTTAGCAGACTGGTGAGACCACCGAGTGGCTATCTTGGTAATTTTCAGCAAGGCTTTCTCTGATCTCCATTTGCTTCTGTAAAGTCTTCATACTGGCCCAGTTTACCTGGAGGATCATTTCTACTGTTGCAAACTGATGAACTGGAAATTGAAATTAGGCATTGTGTTATATCTGGGTGCGTTATGCTTGTTTCAGCTCCTCAGGACTCCCGGGGACAAATGTGGCCCTCAATTGTATTAAGGGGGTATAATGGGATCGCATTGCTGCGAGTTGAGAGCACAAGTTACCCCAAATCTCCCTGGTGCGTAATTCCAACCAGGGCGCATCAGCAAAAATAAAACCAGCCAAAGCCGTGGCTCTGGGCGGCCTGATTTTGCGATGTTTCATTGCACCGGCATGGAGGGGGGGGTCTCATTTCTAGCTCACTCCTGCAGACAGCTCGGAAAGTCCCACTGCAGTAAATAAATGTCTGCTTGAATTTCATGACGCTCCCAAGCACAGTTATCAGGCACGTGGCATGCAAGTGCATAGCCAAGCACATTCTTAACTGTGGCTCCTTTTAAAGTGGTGGGATCCTTTGTGGAGCGGTCATTCAGTCTATAAAACATTTCAGCCCCGTAATTGCAGAATCACAGAGGGGCTGAGGTTGGAAGGCACCTTTGGAGATCATCCAGTCCAACCCCCCTGTTCAAGCAGGCTCACCTAGAGCACGTTGTCCAGGATTGTGTCCGCACGGCTTTTGAATATCTCCAAGGACGGAGACTCCACAACCTCTCTGGGCAGCCTGCTCCTTGCAAAGGAAAACACAACTCACTGTGAGAGAGGGCTGGAAAACAGCCCTGAAGAGCAGTGAGACCGCAGCGCTAGGGGCTCGGGCTTGAGGCAGCGACCTGAGTGGGTATATTCAGGATATATAGTCAGATCTGTTCGTGCAGATGGGTCCGTCCTGCGGTCCTGGCTGCTGCATCACGCTCGCTGGAACTGGTCCCGCTAGTCCAAGGCCAGTGTGGTGCTGCCGTGCCATCAGCACCGCCAGATCGCTGAGCCCACGCTCCCCTGATGGAGGTGAGGATCAGCCCCATCCTTTCCAGCCTCCTTTGGCATGGAAATGCCAGGGGTGATTTCAGAGCTGTGAGGAAAGCATAGCCTCTTGAGTACTTCCACTTGATTTCCGTGTCTCCTGCCATCTAACAGCTGCTCTTGCAAAGTTGCCAGTCTGCGCTTTACTGAGAAAGGACTAACCTGTGTTTCTGCAGCCGGTCCTTCCAGCCTTCCACTGCTGCCTAACGCGCATGCTTCCTTCGCTTCGTTTTGTTTCTAGGAGCTGTTTAAAAGAGAAATGAGGTTTTTGCATAGGCGTTTTCTTCAATTTTTTTTCCTTGTTCTGTCACTAACTTGTTTTTTCTATTCTGTCCTTAATCCGCTGTCTTTATGGACTCAGCTTCAGAAAAGGGAGCGCTCTTGCAGGGCCTATGTCCAGGTACTTCTTGCGTTTTTAATGCCTGTCAAGTTGTTTGATTGAATGACTGTGAAGTGGGTCTTGTCTCTGTGCATCTGGTTATTATCGTCTTTGCGGCGGCAAGTTCTAAAGTTAAGGTTACAGGATAATGGGATAATTTCATTATTCATCACCACCACCACCACCTGCCCAGTCACTCACAGACCTGAGGAAAATTCAGGGCGAAAACTCTGAATCAGAAAATGGGAAAAACTGAAGGAGAGATGTGACAAGATCCATTCAGCCACTGGAATAAGCAAGGCAGCGTGGACGCGTGCAATTAAAGAACACAAAACGCCTATTCGCAATGTCATTGCGAGGAATAATTGCTACATTTTCCTTGGTTTTTCCTTCTTTTCCTCTTACTCTTGAAAATTTAGAAACAATTCAGCATTGCACCACTTGGCATGAGGAAGGAGGCAGAATCATAATGAAATGCAGCGTGTCCTCGCAGAAGGATGTAGGAAGGAGGAGTGTGCTGCACGCTAAATTTAGATTGAAGAACATAACTTTCCATAAAGTTCACCCAGCTGCGACCTGCATTTTGCAGGCTTACGTCACGTTTTATGCGAACAAGATGGTCCCAGGGTTTGTCGTCTCTTCAAGAGTGGGGCCTTCGATTGCGATTGTGTTTATCCTGTCACCTTGCCTTATAGCATTTGCTCCAGCCACTTTATATAAAGTTATTTGTGCATTACAGGTGAGTTAACGTTGCCTTAAGAAGTGTGAACGTTTTAACTCCTAATTTCTATGCCTTTAGTTTTACCAACTTTGATGTGCTTGCGAATGATTGGTCGTTATTTATAAGTGTGTAACACACAAAAGTGTAGTTGTGAAACCCGCGTTTCTGGAGGGGGCTATGAGTGTGCTCTGAAGTTTTCTGCAGAGCACGCCTTCCCACAGCCTGCAAGAACTTTATTTGGTGAGCGCCTACTTCGTTCAGCATGTGGGATCAGATGGCTTAGATTTGGGGGCATTAAACATAAAACTGTTCTCCTCCTTGCTGGTAGCCTCTTTGCCTTCCCTTTTGTTATGGTCATGAGAGAAAGCCATCTCTCATCTTCTATACACATTCATTGATCAAGATGAATTATGGAGTTGTTATCCTTCACTGGCACTGACCTCCCTTGAGATCTCGGAGAAGGTAGCTAGCATTTTAAGGAAAGTTGACACCGAGTGCTCGCTCCCAGGCTAGCTATATGGCTTCTGATGGCACTGGGGACCTGGTGTGGCCGGTTGCCCACGGGGTGGACAGTCCATCAGGGGCGGGGGACAGGAGTTCAGGTGGCCTTCCTCTCTCAACATGATGGTTACTCCGGTTGGGAGATCCGTGCTTCTTCAGACGGACCTACCTGACCCATAGTGGTCCTTTCCCTAGCAGCGTAGGTGCACCCTACAAACTGTAGATGCACCCTCCTCATATTTTTGTCTTCTTTCAAGCAGTAGCAAATAGTGGATTAATGTCCCCTACAGAAAGCTTGAAATTTATAAAATAAGGCCTCAATTCTGCAAAGGCTTAAGCCTTTCCCTAATTTCAAGGGCTCTTTCACTTGGAAAGGCTACTTGCGTGTTTAAGCATTAATCATGCCCCTACCTCTTTAGCAGACAAAAGCTGATGAAAGCTTATTGCCTGAGTTGTTTTGTATAAATATTGGCAAAGCTGGTAAAAGAGGACAGTCCTGCAGTAGAGGAGTTGGAGAATGAATTGGGTGACCTAAGTGAACCTTTCTGGTATTATATGGAGGTAAAATAACGTATCTAGGCATATTTCAGACAGTCTGTGTCCGTTTGGAAGGTCATGTAACTGAAGTCATCAAAAGATCTTGGGGGGAAGAGTGCCAGTAATAGCAATTAAAGGTGACTGCGGATATTCCTGTTACAGACCACTTACCCTTTACCACGCAGTGAAGTATTTAGGCTGGCTGAGCCAATTTAGCAGAACTCTTGCAACAGATCTTAACTGGTGAAATCCCAGACTCCATGAAGTTCATGGGAGATGGGAAGTCCCTGGGAAATAGGCCACTGAGGGCAGAGAAAGCGAGTTTCCTCAGCCTTGCTGACGTGATGAGCTTGGGCTGATCGCGTCATTATGGCAATGATCCGTAGCTGAATTCAGCACGCACAGCTGGAAGGGTAGCTTCAGTCCTGTCCTTCCTAAGCGAAGGCAAACCCTGTACAGATGTTATGTGAAAGATGCCCAGCAACTGTAAAAATCAAAGATGCGATTGAAAAAAGGAGGATTTGGGGGAAGGGGAGGGTGCTTGGGAAGATAATAATTGCTGATACCAGTTTCAGTGGTTTCCGTGGGCTGACAAACATAGGCAGCCATGAGAGAGCCCCTGTGACAACGGAGATATAAAGTCCTCTTGAGCACAAACTAAATGAATAAAATAGTGAGTGAAACTGAACTGGAAATGTTGCAATTTATTCCAGTATGAGACTATGGAAATGCAGTAGCAGATTATCATCTTATCTCTCTGTGTAATTTCATAATTAAAACAAATATTGATTTAATTTGTCTGTAAAATGTCATAACATTTGTTGAGTTAAAAGCTCAGGGATTTTATTTACTGGAGACAGAGGTTATGGGTGTCCCTCCTTTAGTTGTGAATGTAGTAAATTATCTTTTTTTCCTCTCTAAACCAAAAACAACCAATGGGTGACGTGATAAATGCATATTAATATAATAATGACTGGACAGCTGCCTGGGGATTTATAAACTGCAGTGATATTTGAGAAACCACCACACCGGTTTTAATTCATAACAGTCAGAATGAACTAGGCAGGCCTAGCTGGCCAGGGAAACTTATTTTATACGGCTCACAAGTTGCTGGACGACAGTTTCCTCTGCGGAGAGAACGAGACGATGACAGCCTCATTTGTCGAATATGACTCGGTTGGGTCGCATTATCGTTTTTGTGCGCGTGAGGTGTCCCGGCTTTTTAGCGAACCGCGGTAGCCTCCACTGAGCGTCATTCGTTTCCCCTGATCTCCCCGTCCAGCTGTTATTTGAGAGGATGCAGCCGTATCTAGAGCCCAGATCTCAAACTCCGAGGTGGTGGGTACCCCCAGGGTACGCAGGGGCACGCTTCAGCTCCTCTGAGGGTTAACCCTTTCATGGAGCGCGCCGCCCAAGTGAGCTGGCCTGGGTCGCTCAAAGACAACCTGACTCATCCCATGAGGTGGGTGTCTAAGATGGACAGAGGGAACCGCCTTGGAAAGGTGCTCGTCTGCCTCGGAGGACGAGGGAGAGCCCACACCAGATGCCTGACTGCTTAGCGGCGAAAGGTAGCCGAAACGGTTCCTGCTGGGGCTGCGTTTTCCTCTCGTTCGCCTGCCCACCTTCCGGTAAGGCGCTGTTCCTGGACGTATGGGCAGCTGGTTGCGAAGTCTGGGGTCAAATCCTTGCTTTGCTCGCGTGTTGTGGGCTGGAGCGCTGGGGCATCACGAGGCTGATGTCTTCCCCTGCGGTGTCGGCCGGAGGGCCCTCCCCACGGGAAGCTGCGTTCTGCGCTTGGGGTGCGGGTCCTGGAAGGCAAAAACTTCTCAGGGAGGTCCCATTCTTATTTGTTGTTGTTGTTCGTAAAGCCAGTCTCGATTGCTTCAGAGCTGGAGGACAGTAAATGCAATAGCTGAACCGAATGACTGTTTTGTTGCGGGCCGGAGGAGGAAGCAGCAGTCTGTGGCCTTCGCAGCATTTTCCCGGGTCTCCAACGGCGTTTGCTGCTGGGCTTCCCACGTTTCTGGGCTTTTCTGTGCGGTAAATGGGGGAGATCATGGAGGTGTCGCTCGTCCCATGAAGATCACAAGAGCTTTGCAGGTAACGTCGGAGCCACCGATGAGACCTGTCCTGAGCTCCTGGCAGCTTCCAGGCGGCAAAGACTGCTGGTAGTTGCAGCCTAGAGTTGTCCTGATTCTCCTGGAAGTTATCCGAAAGCTTCATGCTTACGGCGTGGGCTGTCTGAGTTGTTAAACTAAGCAAAAGAGAGAGGCTTGCCTCAGAGGAGTCAAGGCATTAAGTTCAGAGCTGACTAAGAGACTTTTTTTTGTTCTTTGCAGACCCTCGTAGGTCCTAGCAGCTAGACGGTGTATCTGGGACAGCCAGGAATACCTGAGGGTGCTTAATTCTGTCCGTCCCGCTTGCTTGCTTGCCCTGCTGGTCCCAACTCGGGTGAGGCCTCAAAGACAGAAACTTGCAGCCAGCACAGAGACAGAGCGCAAAGTGAATTATGCCGCGTTTTGCTTGTGTTCGTGCAGTGCCTGTGACAAGAAAGACTCTAACCTCCGTTTATACAGAAAGGGGCAAATTAATGAGGGTTTTCGAGTTCCTTGTTTGGTCACTTAATTGGCTGTATGACAAAGAGCTCTGTGGTGCGTGTCAAACAACTTTCAGAGTCCTCTAATGGTTTGTGCGTTGCTTGACTCCTGATGCTGTTCTGTGCAGCCTGTCAGGCTAGGTATCGTTGTTAAAGTGGCTGGAATAAATTGGCTAGCAGTGTGCGTACAATGTAGTATATTAACTATAGCTACAGGGAGTACTTTTAGCCGCTTTCTTCAAGAGATCTAGATGTTTGCCTATAAGCATCAAAGTGCCCCAAACTTTCATTTAATATAATTAAAAGGACATCTGAAAGAAGTGTGACTCGCAGCGGGGTTTTTGCGGTTTGGTAGCCCTTTGTTAAAACTCTGTGAACTTAATATATTTCACAGCGTGCGAGACCTGCGCTTGATTTGTGTCAGTAAGGGGAAAAAATATAAATCCCCACCCTGCGCGTTTCTGCTGCAGTGAGCCTATTGTGAGGGGAGAGGAGGATCAAACAATCAGCCTTGGGTTTGTCCCCAGCATCAAAAACTCTGCGCATGAATATTAATATATATTATGATGTGTTCCTCCGCCCAGAACTAAGCTACGCCTGTGGTAAGAGTCCCACACGTAACGTAACAAAACTGGAAAAACCATAGCATTTTCTGCGCTATCGCGG